GGCCGGAAGGGGGAGGGAAGGGACGCTGCTCAGCTCCCGCTGCGGGGGCAGAGCGTTCCCAGCCAAGGTCAGGTGCCCGGCCCGTAGGCCCCGCGGTCCGGGGGAGGGACGGGACAGCCCTGGTGGCCAGACCGAGAGGGGGCAGGGAGCGTGGGTCGCGTCCAGCCACCTGGCACGTGGGGGTTCTGCTAGGTTCACCCCGCCGGAGTCGGCCCCGCCCGCCAGAGGAGCCCGAGGGGCGGGAGGAGGTTCTGGAGCCGGGTCCAGTTCCGACCGCAGCATTCCTGCTCCCGCCTGAGTCACCAGGACACCCCCTCCCGGACACTTCCGGTCGGTCTGCGGGGCATGCTGCCCTGGATCCCCCTTCCCAGGCCGGCGGCACCAAAGGAGAAAAGGGTGGAGTGGGACGAAGGGTCCCAGGATCCCACCCGGCATCTAGATGAGGGGCAGGGAGGGCCAGGGGGCCTGGGATCCCCCGTCTACGCTGGTCTCTTCCTCTGAAGCCTGGTTCCAGATGTGCTTTCCAGATGTACTGCCCGTTCCCCCTACGGTTTTCCAAGGGAATGAGGGGATGGAAGGAGAGGGAGAGAGGGGGCACGCCCGGAATCAGAGACAGATAAGCACAAACTGACAAAAGTCCTGATACAACACTCCAAGAGCACACAGTGAATTGCACTTTAAACACACAGGGGTTGTTATTGGTACAAATATGCAGAAAAGACTGTCCTGATCAAGATACTCATAGCTACACAAGGGTGGTGACACAAACAGGGACAAGTACATCCAGTGAGTTACACACACAAACACACACAAGACCTGATAAACATAGATACAAAGACTCACACACACACACACACACACACACACACAGGCGGAGATGCTGGGACAAACACATTGTAATCATGCACATGCCCATTGATTACAAACACCACACACACACACACACACACACACACACACACACACACGGGCGGAGATGCTGGGACAAACACATTGTAATCATGCACATGCCCATTGATTACAAACACCTATGGACAGTTTTTATCTAGTTAGGCTGATACTGACACACACACTCACACATCCCTGCATATTGAAGTATACACACCAAGCAAGAAAACACACATCGAGCTTGGAATAGACAGCACACACATAACATACAACCAAACCTTCATCCACACCAAAACACTGCCAGACACACAGAGTTGGCTGTTAGCATGTTTGCTGAGGTTGTCAGCTGTCAATCTTCAGATGGATACACAAACACTCACAGAACTGTCAGGGCTGCTACAGGCACATGAGCATGGAGCCACTGCGGTGTACACATATGTCATAACAGACATACTTTGGGAGGGGGGGAGCTTCAAATAGTCCGTGGAAAAATGGAATAAAAAGACAATGGGTTTTTTCCATGAACTTTTTGAAGTCCCCTAGCTAGGAACCCTGGTGTGACACTGTGGGTTTATGTGCTGGGCTGCAAAGTCATTTGAACTGCAAGATCGGAGGTTCAAGCTCATCAGCGGCTCATTGGAAACCCTATACAGGTTGCTATGAGTCGGAACCAACTCAACTGTACTTAACAAAGGCAAGTGTACACACTGGCTGGTTAGCACGCTAGTTTCCTCCATTAAGAAGCAGTGGAGACTAACACACACACACAAGGAGACAGGCAGAAACAGAATGGTGATGTTACTGCCCTGCTGTGAATCTCTCTCTCTCTCTCTCTCTCTCTCTCACACACACACACACACACACACACACACACACACACGGACCCATGGTGACAGCTTCACATGCCAGTATGCTGACGTGGGAAATGCACACAGACACCCTAGGAACACCCACAGACACATGTGTATACGCACAGCCAATGAGAAATACCCCAAGAATTAGACAAGCACCTGTGGACCCCCTGAGAAATGCAGGCCATTACGGCACTTCATGAACCTTGCACACAAACACACACAGAGGTTCAAGAACCGTGCACATGCAAGAACACACACACCACACCACACCGCTGAAGAACATAGCATGTTGCCTATGGACACATGATTTGCCACAAGGAACTAGAAGTCCACATCAGGACACAACTGTGAGCTGATGCTGTTACCTGTATGCAGACAGGTGTACAAAACAGTCACAAGGCCACCCAGGGGAACTGCCGCTCCTCTACACATGTACACACTGCAGGAACACACAAACACACGCACAAAGAGGGACAGACACAGGCTGACTGACACTGGAACACATATATCTCTGACACATTTAGCACACACATTTTAGGGACAGTCTCTGAAAAATGTACTGACCCCAAACATGCAGTGGGGCAGACACAGGAGCTGACAGAAATACATTTGGTGATACACACACCGGAAGCTGACCCTCTGGAAGACACACACTCAAACATGTGCTGATGGACAAACACATTGACATGGACAGACAGCCAGACCCCCACCCCCTAAACACATGCACACTCACTCATACACCAGACCCTCCCACATTAGCATCCTCAGTTTTCACTCTGGGATGGGGTAACAGGAAGACTGTCTCCCAGTCCCTGCCCCCTCTGGGGAGGGGGGTCTTGCCAGGGTGACTCAGGCTCCATCACAGTCTCCACCCGGCCACTCGAGCCATGGGCCTGAGTCACCTCTCTGGGGGCTGACATGCTCATCATTAACTTGCACACTCACTAACTTGCACACTCATAGCCCCCAGAATGCTGGGAATGTGGACCCCTCTCGCCACCCAGCCCCAGTCCCCACCCATTCCCAGGAAGCTGGTACCCCTCAGTGCCCAGCTTGCTCCCCCACCTGTCTCTCCTTCCTTGCTAAGGACAAGCCCATCTGTGACCCCAAGCTTGGGTCTGCCCTCCCTGTGTGGTGTGGAAGGGATGGCCACCTTTCTCCTTGTCACTCAGACCTTCCTGTCTTCATTTCCATTTTTGCTTTTTTCTGATGTTTGTTTTTCCCTGTCTCCAGTTCTCTTTGGAACAGTTTGAATTGTCTTTGTTTCCTATGTCTTGCCCGCTCTCTACTTTAGACTGTGACCCCCATGTGGGGTTCTGAGCTCTGGACATCCTCCCCTGGACCAAGGCCAGCAGCAGGGCCCTTCAGGGTCAGAGGTGGGCAGGTGGGTGGCGGAGAAGAGGAAGACACAGTTGGTTCTGGAACCCAGCTTGGGTCAAGGGCTGACAAAGGGCCACCAGACCCACACACACTTGGGCCTCGGAACAGCTCAGAGGAAACCAGAACAAAGAATTTCATTCAGAGAGAGGCCAGCATGAATGGAGGGAGAAAGAAGCTGAGAGGCAGAAAAAGATGGAGAGAGAAACAGTGCAAGAGACAGATGGGAGAGACAAGTAGAGAAATGGGAGAGACAGAGAAGCAATGGGAGAGACAGGGAGAGAAATGCAGAGAGACAGAGACAGAGAAACAGCGAGAGAGATAAAGATGGGAAAGACAAGGAGAGGAATGGGAGAGATAGAGACACAGTGAGAAAGACAGAGATGGGAGAGAAGTGAGGAGAGACAGAGAAATACAGACAGACTGGAGAGACTGGGAGAGAGATGGAGGGAGACAGAGAAATAGAGAGACAGGGAATAAAATGGGGAGAGTAAGATGGAGAGAGACAGGAGTCAGATGGGGAACAGAGACAGAAAGATGGACAGACAGAGACTGAAAGATGGACAGACAGAGAAACAGTGAGAAAGAGAGGCTGGGAGAGAGTGGTGAACAGAGAGACAGAGAAAAGCATGCAGACTTAAAGACTGAGCTAGAGAGGAACAGAAACACAGCTGGAGACATTCAGAGACAAAGGGAGGTAGAAACAGACAGTCTAGAGAGGGGCAGGCAGACACTCACACCGGGCTCCCCAGCTCCTCACTCCTCTCTGCCCTGGCCTCAAGCAGAGATGACCCCTGACCCTGACTCACCTGGAACTTGCAGGTTGTGCTGGGGGTCCTGGCTTGAGGCTGGAACCAGGGGGACAGCATCCTGGAGCCAGAGGAGGTCCACGGGTTCTGGGGGTCCCTGGGCTCGGCAGCTCAGGTTGAATGGGGTATTGGCAGCCACAGTCCTGTCCTCAGGATCTTCCAGGAAGTAGGGCAGGCCTGGGGGCAGTGGGTTCCCCACCAGGATGACCCACCAGGATGCTGGAGGCTTCAGATCATTTGCCTCACCCTCAGGGTCTTTGACCTCCCATGTCTGATCGCCCCCCTACCGGACACCTGAACCTTCTTCAGATTCTGACCCCTCCAGACCTCTGCCCACCAGAACACACGATCCTAATGTCTAACATCCCAGTGTCTGACCTCTAGGACATCTGAATCCCCATGTCTGACTCCTCATCCCATTTTACCAATGAGGAGAGTGTGTATGGGGCAGAGAATCCAATGTGTGTGCCTCAGACCTGATCCCTAAGTATGTGTGACCCCAAGACACCCAACCACACCCGGGCTGTCTTCTTCCTCAGTATCTGTAATAGTCCCAGGCCAGTTCCCCATGATTTATGAAATCCCTACTTCTTGGTCTCCGACAACCCCAAGCTAAATGTATACCCAAGAATACCCTGGATCCCCCAGCACCCTCCAGCCCTTTGGAAGTTTTGACCTCTCCAGACTCATGACCTCCCCTCAGGATCTCTGACCCCTAGAGCTCACCTTCCAGCCCCACATAGCCAGGCTGGGATAGGAAGGTCTCTCCGTTCAGGACCACCGCACACTGGTACCGTCCTGCATCTGAGAGCTGTAGCACCGAGATTCTGACAAAACAGGGGGTTTGGGGTCAGAGCCGGACTGTGATTGGGGATGGTCAGAACTGAGATGGGTCTGGACTGAACAACTGTAAGAACCATGAAGTCAGTACTATTATGATCCCATTTTACAGAAGGGAAAGTGAAACCGAGAGGGTGACTGCATGTGCTGAAGACCACGCAGCTAGGAAGTCTCAAGGTTGGGGATCCCATCCAGGTGCTGTGATTGATGGGGTGGGGGTGGGGTGGCTGAGGAAGGACAGACAGGGGTCAGGAGGGAAACTGGACACCTGAGTTGGCTGACCACTTTCCAGTCGTCCTCTCCATCTTCTCCCAGGGGCACCTGGGTTTGGGTGCTGTCCGCCAACTCCAGGATTTGCCCATCCCGGAGCCAGGCCACCTCAGGGGGCTCCTCCTGGACCAGGAGTTCACACCGAAGGGTCCCTGTGAGCCCCCGGGCACCAGTGATGTTCCCTGGGCTCTTCACGAAGGGGTCTGTCTGAGCCTGTGTGCCTGCGGGGAGTACAGGGTAGGGATGACTTAGGGGTAAGGGGTCCCCACTTCCCTCTGGTCCCTCTGTTTCCTGGCCCTCACTCCCTGCCTGGCCATCGGCTGCCCGCCTTCAGACCCACATAGTTGTAGAGTGACTTCAGAGGGGGTGTGGGACAGAGACTTTGGGGGGAGGATGGGAGCCTCCCCTGGGGCCTTGGGGTCCATTATCCATCCGTTGGGAAGTCAGCAGAGATCTGGCAGCCTCCCACGCTCTGGCAGGGCCAACCCCTGCCCCCATGGCCCTGCCTTAGGGTCTCTAGAGACTTAACGGTTGGGGCTGGGTGGATGGAGGGGGAAGACAGGGGCTAGGGAGGGGGATAGAAGAGAGAAAGACAGGAAAGGAGAGAGAGAAATCCCAGAGAGTCAGGCACAGAGACAGATAGGGAGATCCCCAGCGGAAAGGAAGAAGGGGAGAGACTGAAGGAGCAGAGAGCCCCCATTCCCAGAGATGGAGATATAAGGATGCGGGGATATGGAGAGGGGCTGTAGTGACCGGGCCGACGTTTCCCTCTATGGCCCCACAGTCCTCAGTCTTCTCCTTGACTTACGATCTTTCTTTCCGGAAGAATCTGGCCGCCCACTTAGTTCCTCTCCCCAAGGCCCCCTGACTCAAGCCCAGGCCCTGCTCCTCTCGGCTTCTCCTCAGCTCTGTCCTTACTTCTTTGGCTCCTCTGTCTGTCTCTGGCCCTCTCAGTTTCTATTTCTTGTTCGCTGTTCCTCTTTCAGAGTCTTTCTCTCTCTTTTCAGAGTCTTTCTCTCTCTTTTCAGTCTTTCTCTCTCTTTACAGAGTCTTTCTCTCTCTCTCTGCCTCTCTGAGGTGGTCTGTCTCCGAGCGTCTGGGTCTCCCAGTCTCCATCTCTTGTCCTGAGGAAACTTCTGGGACAGGATTCAGCCCCAACACCTGCCATTCACACAGCTGTGGTCCCCTCTGTGCCCCAACAAGCCCCCATCACTTACCCTTGGGAGCCAGGCAGCCCCAGCAACACAGTGCCAAGCACCAGACCAGCGGGACCCTGCCCATCCTCAGCGGCAACCAAACCACGAAGTCGATGCCAAACTTTCCTTGCAAGTTCCCTGGCACCCCACGGGGGAGGGGGCAGGGCTGGGCTGTCCCCAGCCCTCCCCCCAGCTCCGGGTTCCCTGGATTTGGCACTGCCCGCCTGGCACGGTGGGGCCACTGGCCAGCTCTAGCTCTGCTCAGCAGTCGCCTTCGCTGCTTCCCGGCCTCCTTCTCTCCCTCCCAGACTTCGGGCAGCCTTTTCCCCGCCCCTGGCCCCTACTGCCTCCGCCCATCGGCCCAGAGCCCAAGGGGCCACCTGGGCAATGAGGGGTTAATGCTGAGAGGAGTGGACCTGCCCTGTCTTAAAGGGGCCCTGGAAGGAGGTTGGGAGGGGGGAGGGAGACCAGTAGCTGCACCCCTAATCGTTGGTTAGGAGGTTGGAGGATGTGCTTCTCGGTTGGGACTCTGGGCGCTGTCCCTCTGGACTCTCTGTGTCTGGTAAACATTCCTCCAGAACTGCACTCCCCTCTCAGCCTATGGGACCCCC